GAAAAACATTTTTCGTGGAAAATTTCGCATATCAAACAGTCAAAAAAGTGAAAGTTGGAAAATATTTTCCTACTTCCCTGAAAAACTCCGCCAATCAAACGGAGCCTAGTGTTATTCAAAACTGAAAAGAATTGTCTCGTGTTACAGTGCATAAAAAGTAAGGGTTAGATGAAGAAGTATGACGTCAATTTTGTTTTAACTCATGGTGCAGGGTTTTTTTGATTCTGCAGCTCATAAGTGTCATTGAGTTTATCACCTGGTGGAATAACTATTGGATGCCTGATGACAGAAATAAATCAAGGTACACGCTTTTCATTTTTTATAACTACGCACTTTTGAGAATTCATCGAAGAAGTGATACATAAATCCAGAATATCGGGCACATTTACCCCTTTTCTTTAAATTTCTATGGCAGCTGTTCCCTTGGATTATTCATGTCAACACTATTTTATATAGTCTCTGTATGTGGCCTGGTGGTGATGTACATGCTTTATGCCTCAAAACCATCGTGCACTCTGAACATATTCTTCATCACGTGGACTGTGATTTTGCTAGTCGTGATGTTAGTTATATCCTTGCATTCCAAGGTATTCTATTTCACAAAAAAGAGAAAGGAAAAAATCTTCAAAATTATACGAAGTTGTGGCAGATCAAATGAAGACAAACAAACTTATTAAACGATTGTCTTACATCTCACAAGTAACTGGTGCCATGCTCAATACAGGTGAATAGAGGCCTTCTCTCTTCAGGGATCATGGCATCTTACATTGTATTCCTTTGTTGGACTGCTATCAGAAGGTAATAATGGTATTCCCTATTGGTACCAAAATATCCCTTTTCATTTCTCCCCATACCGAGGTTCTTTAAAGGGATCCTGTCATCTCGATATTCGCCCAACCTATACATGTATAGGAGTCATTAGATTGCACTATTATTATGATATTCAGCACTGTCTAGTATTGTTTACCAAACATGCACTAGGAATGATTAGGTGAGAACTAGGTGAAATTGTCAGAGGGAGGCTGTGTAACATGTACGTTTCACGAGGAAACTCATATATTGGTTTGATATGCACAAATTGGTTTTTTAAGATTTTGCATAAAATTGTTGAGATCTATCAACACAAAAATTCACATTACTCTATGTTATATCTTGAAAGCTTAACTACATTACATGAAACATAGTAGTCAAAGCAAGTTCATTGAACTGAAAATCATATTTTATGCATTCTAATTTCCTTCTTCTTGTTTCGTAAAAATTAATTACAGTGAGCCTGCCAGTGAAAATTGCAGCCCTCAGAAACAAGAGAATGCACATGGTGGTTGGACCACTGTAATTGTAAGACTTCACATTCTCTTTGATTTACATTTTCTTTTCACTCTGAAATCTATCCTTCAAACAATTTCCAAGAATTTCTTGCAATTTTTTCTACTATATGAGAGTGGTTCGTAAATTTTCTCGACTTTTAAGTAATTCTTGACAAGGACTCATCTGTAATTTGTTCCTTGCTACCTTTGTTTATGCTTCTGCTGTAGGGCTTCCTCATTGCCATATGTGCAATTGTCATCGCTACATTTTCCACAGGGATTGATTCACAAACATTTCAGGTGATTTAAGCTTCTTCTAAACAAAGATAAAAAAAAGTTTGAAATGCAGAATAAAGAGTGATAGTTACTTTTCATTATCATCATTTTATACTTCAATTGCATTGCCTGCTTGATGTAGATGTATTGTGTACTCTTTTCTTGTTATATTTCCAGTTTCGGAAAGATGAAGTTCAGTTAGAGGATGACATACCATATAAATACGGATTCTTTCACGTCGTATTTTCTTTGGGGGCCATGTATTTCGCGATGCTATTCATCAGTTGGAATTTAGAAAGCTCGACAAGAAAGTACGTTATAAATGTTCTTTTCAAACTTGTTGGATAGTTCGCTTTTTTTCTTTATTAATCTGTTATCTAAATCAGATGGAGCATCGACGTTGGCTGGGCTAGTACGTGGGTGAAGATCGTTAATGAGTGGTTCGCAGCCACCATATATTGTAAGTATCTGTCTTGTATGAACGTCGATGTTTTGTATGTTCTTAAAAATTTTAGGGTCAGTTTCGTTTAGAAAATTGCCTAAGATATTTTATGTGAGGATCGATGAATTTTTCTATAAGAATTAGAGAGTATATTGTTGAACTTTGAACCATCTCATCAAAAATGTTAAACCGTTAAGAGGGGCGAAAATTAGTTGCTCGTCCCCATAGAAGACCGATCTCTCGATTTCGAGCTTTAGTTATAATTTTATAGTGCAACAACGTTTAAATCCGATTAACATGTAAATCTCTGAATGCAGTGTGGAAACTGATTTCCCCTGTTGTGAGACAGAACAAGATCATGAATCATGAAGTGTCCATGGAGGAAGTAAACAAGTCAGATGCAGCATGATTTTGTACAACGTAATCTAGTAGATGTTTGGCTAAGTATTTGAGCTGCTTATTTACCATCTTATTTCGTAGTGAAAAATAAGCCAAGTAGCAGTGCTTATAAGCTTAGCCAAACATTCTATTCTATTTTTTTTTCCCATTGATGATAATGAGGTGGTCAACCTTTCAATTTACTGGCCAATGTACCAGCCGAATTAAATGTGTCCATTTTGTGAAATGCATATTCGAATAAACATTTTTCATGGATCAATTTTTTTCTCAATCAAAATTTCATGTCATATACAAACCTGAAGTTACAAAAAAATTGATTCCCCATTTTAATATTTTTTTATTAAACTAATTTTAAGAAACAAAATTAATAATAGCAATACTAATTCAAGGGAAAATTAGACATTTTTTAAAAAAAGGGTATAATTGTCCAAAAAATATTTCTTCCAGCAGTAATTATATGGGTGGTTATATTCCCTTCGCAATTTATTTTTCTTCCTCTACATTTTAAATTCATCCCTATTAAAATACATATTTAATAAATACACCATCTCAATTAAAAAAATATTTTTAATGTTTGGGAGAAAATGTATTTTGGAGTAGTGATTTTTTGGAAAATAAGTAATTAAAGATAACAAAAATTTTGGGTTGATTTGTAATATTATTTTAGGGAAGAATGTGTTATTGAAAACGAGTTTTGAAAAAATGTATTTTAGAAAAAATAAAGTCTAAACAAAGGTTATTCTCATATGTGTGAACATATTCTGGGAGAAAAAGAATGATCGACAGTTAGTCAACTTTTTCCATGGTCGATGACATCTTTGAGAAAAGTCGATATACTATTCGATCAATCTCTTTAAAAAGAAAGTCACTTTTTTTTTTCTTTTTTACTTACTACCATTGTACTTACAAATAATTTATTTAGCTCTCGTTTGATTTTCATTATTTTCAAAATATATTTTTCTCCATTTTCTTTTCATTCACACATTTTTCAATAAAATAATATTACATGCAAACCCAAATTTTTTTCTTATTTTCTAACCTTATATTTTATATTAATTTACTATTTAAAAATACATTATATTTGCCAAATAATCGGGCTCAAACAAGGGCTTAAGATCTCATAGATTTATTTCAATTAGTGAGACCGTTGATAAGCCCAAATCCAGTTAAAAAGTGGCAAATGATCTATAGCCCATTTTTCTACCTTGTTTCTGTCTTCGGCTAGGGCCACTAATCGTTTCTTGATGGGAAAAGTTCACAAATCAGGTATTAACTTTGAAATTGCAAAAATCAGGTGTTAAGTTTCAAATTTGTAAAAATAAGGAATTAATTAATTAATTAAATATTTAATTGTAATATAATATAATTAACACATCACACATCACACCCACCCCACCTCCACCTCTATCACCCTTACTGCTCTGACGACTATTCCGACGACTACTTCGATGACTGTTCCCTGATCGCGCTTAATTCCGACGATTATTTCGATGACCGTTCTGCCGTCGCTTAATTCCGGGAATTGTCAAGGCCACAATTATATGCAATTTGGTCACATATATCTAATTAATTAGTTAAAAATTAATTTTCGATCACAGTTTATTCGTAGGGCACTGTTTTCAAATTAGTTGGTCACAAATTTCAAAATTTGTAGGTCACATAGTCACAGATTTCCAAATTAGTTGGTCATAGATTCTTTTACGATCACAGATTATATAATTTTTAGGTTACAAATAACAAAATTGTTGGTTACAAATTAAACAGCACCCCACTTCCAACACCAACACCAACACCACCAAACAAGATGCTAAAAAGATAAAAACTCAACACAAACTCTACCTATATATTATTTGAAAAAACATCAATTTTCATCCATTTTCTTCACATAAACATCGTCAATTCTACTAACCATTTTTCATCATTCTTAAAATAAAAGACTTAAAAATCGAAAAGAGGACCTGCATCTATAGTACCAGGTTCATGGGAGTATACATTCAACCTAGGAGGCACATAAACTTCTAAAGCTTCTGGAACAGACTGATTCTCAAACATCCAATCAAACTGAAAGCCCAAGATCTGTACTTCCGGGAAATCCAAAATTATTGTAATCTATGGGGGAAAGTGCGATGGCGCGGGTGCTATGGGAGGTGGTCTCTGGCAATGGACGGTTATCTTCGGCGGCGAGCGCGAGAGAGGAAAAGAATGGGAAAGAGGAGAGGAGGCGCGAGAGATATGAGAAGGGAGTAGAGAGAGAAATTATGTCATCAATTAGGGTTTTAATATAATACTTGATTTTTGAATAAATAAAGTTTAGACCTGATTTTTAAAAACAAATCTTTAAACACCTGAATTTATATAATTACCACTTTCTTGATTCCAATTAGCCGTTGGTAATTTTCATGTAATTTTGTTCTTCCGACAAGAATTCACTAACAAATTAATCCCATTTTCGACAAAATCAAGGCACTGAGAACCCAAGAATCATTCACAAGAAAGAAAATAATCAAAANTTCACAAGAAAGAAAATAATCAAAAATTCTTCATATGATGTACCACCACTTGTGCCGCCATTACTACCCCTTGCATACTCTTAGCCACCACCCTTTTCTCTTTTTCTCCTCTTACTCTCCTTCACCTCCCTCCCTCCAACTCAACCCCACCTCTCACTCTTCCCCCATCACCACTGCATCCTCTTCCACATGTTGTCATTTTTCATGAAACATGAACTTTATAAAATTGCCAATATCTTCATGTCAAATCATCAAAAAACTAAATTAACGCGGAACATACCTTAATAGATTGATTTGTGACTTGAATAATGAATGTTGAATTTTGATCTTTTGTTCTTCAATTTAATTGCTCCAAATGCTCTTCTTGATTCTTGATTGTGGGTTTATGGATCTCCCTCTTCAATATACTTTCTCTTGTATTCTCGTGTTGATGAGATGACACAAAGAATGAAAAATTCCATATATGAATTGGGGACCATAACTCTATATATATTTTCCATATATATTCGATCCATCATCAAATACAAATCCTAATGGATCCGGTCTCTACACATATAGTTCGGTCCACACTTTATTTAGATACCCAAAGCCTAATTACTTAATTCTTTATTAGATCATGGGCTGAACTTTAAGATAGGCTTATACACGATTAATTAGGTCCACGCGGCAAATTTAATAATTCTCCAACACCACCCAGAACAACCCTGCAGCTACACTGTCGCCACCTCCAACCCCTCCCTCTATAGCATACTTCATATTCGGATCCTCCAATGACTCGGATCGGATCGGATCCTCAGACTCCCCTACTCCATCTACCACCACAGAAACCAGTACTTGCTCAACCTGCAGCAGGCAGTTCCTCAAGCTGACCGTGATACTCTGGCCCTCAGGGTTCAATCAGAGCCCGTCTTCAAGGCTGCCCATAATGTACATGTAATTGGCAAGGCTGACTATGTGTTCCCTACTGGTACTTCATCTCTTTCCTCCACACTTCATGGTGCCTCCGTTCTGCTCTATGTTTCGGCCAATTGGGATTGGTTCATCAATGTGACAACTCACATTTTCCTAGTCAAAGCCAAATGTTGAATTGTCAAAGTCAAGGTCAA